GTGCCACAGGACTCTCTGTTGCCTGTTAGCTATTTCTGTTTTGTCTATTAGCCTGTAACAATGCTATAGGCAGGAACTGCCTTTTGTGTTTTGTACAGCATTTGCCAACGGGGGCCCGGTTGCACTTGGAGCCTCCAGGCTCTTCTGGAGTACAAATAATAACAAACAGCACAGCGCTGTGAAAGGGTTGTGACTAAATGATTATATCTTCAGGGTTGTAGCACAGTTCCCTTAACGTGCTTAGAACACAGACTGGTTCTGTCTAGCGAGGCAGAATTTTTCGCGCTATGGTTGTGTTGTAATGTCTAGTCTTGTAGATGGGAGCTTAGGTGTGATTGAAATGCTTCCTTTTCTGTGTGAATAGACACAAATGACAGTGAGTGAATGAACAAGGAGAATGTAGAGGAGGCAGCAATTGTACAAATTGTGCGGAAAATACACAGAGAAAGTCAAGAAAGGCCCAGCAGCTCAACTGGACAAAGTCCATAACAGCAAGCAGTCGAGATAAAGCTGACACCAAACCCAAACACAGGAGATTAACTTTCACTGAGTACAAGTTGGTAGAATAGTTCCCTTTAGGACTCTGGTCTAGTTGAATGTGCCGGGGGATTGGAGCTCCTTTTAGAAAGCCATCCTGGGTGAATTGAGAGGGGTAGTATTCTTTGATACACACCTAGAGACTGGCATAGGTCTTTTTTTGTTGTTGTTTTTGACAGGTGGACAGCAAAGGAAATAAAATGCTATAGAACAGGAGTGAACAGATGTGATGACACATATAGGGTAGACTGGGGAGATCTCTTGCCGCCTCTGCTACTGACTGGCTGCGTGACGCTGGGCAAGTCACTTCACAGTCAGCAGCATCATTTGAGTTATTTGTGTTGCAGTAGTTCTTAGAGCCCCCAGCCCTTCTGCTAGGTGCAGTACAAACCAATAACACAAAGCCAATCTATGCCCCCAAAGACCTTCCAATGTAAGTATGAGACAACAGGTAATACAGCAAACAGAGGGGAACCCAAGGTATCAGTGAGACAATTATGATAAATGTGATTAACAGCAGTGAGGGCTCTCCAGCTGCCTAACCATTGTTCATGTCACTATTTTAGGCATCATGGCAGAACTGATTTTTTTAAGGAAGGAGTCTCTGCTCCGTGCCTCAGTTTCCCCATCCCTAAAAAAGGGGATAATTATCTTGACCTTCTTTCCTGAAACCTCAACAGAGTTTGCGATCTGTGTAGCATAATAATCATCACAGAGAGGAAAAGCAACACACCAGTGAAGCGGGGGGAACTAGGCAACAGATGGAGGGAAGGAGAGAGGCAGAGGATAGAGAGATGTGAGCAGCAGAGCAGCGCCCAGTTCTTTCCCCTGCAGAGTTAACAACAGTTTCCTCTCGCCTCCTGTACTCGTTTCCCTCCCTGCTCGCTGCCATTGGCTGCCTCTGTAGGTTTAAGCTAAAAAGCCTCCTAATTAGGCCCCCCCCCCCCCCCCCGCTCCCACACTGCCAGGCTCCTGGGCGGGGAGAGAAAAAAAAAAAAAAAACATCTCCCTGGTGTAGCCTGGGTGTTTTCCTTTCGCTTTGCTGCGCAACCTTTCCAGCCATTCTCCCTCTGCCTGCGGCCCTTTGAAGCAGGTGGAGAACTGGGTGACCAGCCATCCCAGTGTTATGGGGCTTTGTCTTGTATAAGCAACTATCCTCCCCCGCCCTGGGGAAAAAAAAGTGTCCGGATTTTTCACCCTTGTTTTCCGGTCACCCTAGCTGGGGAGCGACGGGAAAGGGACAGGAATACAAACCTCTTGGCGTCTGGGCGACGCAGATCTGCGCTCCGGCGCTGGAAGGAGGGGACCCCAGGAAGCGGCAGGTATGTGATCTGTTGCGGACGGTGCTGCTGTGATTCCCGGCAGGCAGGTCCTTTAGGGGTGGCATGCTTAGTGGTGCTGGGACAATTTGTACAGTGGGGGGCTGAGAGCCACTGAACCAAACAGAACTTTTTCACTTCCAGCTCACCCGTCTGCCTGTTTCTGAGTGGGACAGGAAACACCACTGCGACTGGCACTGATTATACCCCCTTGCCAGCAGGCAGGCCGAGCACAGAAGGGGCAGGGGTGGACAAAACACCGCCTTCTCTGCTCCCCAAGAGGTGGTGAAACAACAGGGGCCAGATATTCAACAGAGCTCAGTGACCACAATGGGGGCCAGGTCTATGTATTTGCAAAGAGCTCAGCTCTGATGTACCTTGCATGGTGTCAAGTATCAGGGGGAGGCTCTGATGTAGGCACTACTCGATTTTCAAAAGAGCCCAGACCGGTGGGCAAATCTGGCTGTAATTGTCACAGCCGGGAGAGGGCGTCACTGGGCGCTGAGTGCTTAAAATAGCTCCCCCTTCATCTAGGTGCCCAGGCGGGAAGGAAAATCTAGCCCTGGGTGTGAGAGGAATAGCACTGGGTGGGAAAAGACCGTTCCGTCTTGCAGGGATTTTGGTATTTTGAACATTTGCTTTCATTCGGAATGAAAACTAAAAATTTTGAAATATTCCACCCAAGGGAAGTGAGCCCTGGCTCAAGTCTACCTGGTGGGCTGTCTTGGAGCCTGGGGGTCCTTCTTCCAATCCCGACCACCTCGTGGAATGCAGATCTTGAAAGATCCTGAGCCCAAGGCAGTCCACCCCGTGGGCTGCCCCATAGTCACAGCCTAGGTTCCCCGAGGCAGGTTGCCGAGAAGCCAGGTGAGAAAGCAGGGATGTGTCGAAACTTAGTCGAAATCGTTCCACGTCCATGGAACATTTTGATGAAACAGCAAATGCTGATTTAAAAAAAAAAAAAGTTTCATTTGAATTTTTCTGACCAGCATCAGCTGACACCTGTTTGCACGTTGCTATGGATTCGGGGCTGCCAACCTGGATTCTTTCAGCAGCACTCAACTCAGCTTAGAAAAGAAAAGAAAAGAAAAAAGAGGGATGTATCTGCAGATTGCTCAGCACAGCTACTACCAAACCTCTTGTTATAATGAATCACAGGTATCTCCCCTAGAGCGTTTAGTATAGTAGGCAGGTTACAGTATATGGTGAAAATTGAGTATAAATCTGTATATTCAAAAGTGGCCTGAGATTTTGGGTGCCCAGCTTGAGACACCAATGGCCTGATTCCCAGCGTGCCGAGTAACTGCGGCTCCTGCTGACGTTCGGGGTGCTTAGCACTTCAGCAAATCAGACCCCAGCTGCCTCATGTTGGGCAGCCCAAAATTAGTGGACATGTTTGAAAATGCGGGCTGTAGTGAGAATGCAGTATATGTAAGCCCCGTCGTTTTCAGTTTACCGAAAAATTCCCGGGTTTTACAAAAAGTATTATTCATCTTTTTTGGATTTTCACTCTACTTTTGTATCATTCAAATATATAAAAAATAACTTGTTTTATTAGGAAAATACCATACAGGGCATGAAATATATGTGTTATGATAGTACATTAGTATTAGTCTGTGTGTATATGCAAAGTTGCCTGTTGAAATAAGGTTATGTATTAGTCTAGAACAGGAGTGGGCAAACTATGGCCCACGGGCCGAATCCAGCCCGTCAGGGCTTTGGATCTGACCCGCAAGATTGCCACCCTCGTGGCACTGCGGGCCCCACGCCGCTGCTGGAAGCAGCTGGCACCACGTCCCTGCGGCCCCTGAGGGAAGCGGGGGGCAGAGGGCTCCGTGCGCTGCCCATGCCTCCAGGCACCACCCCTGCCGCTCCCATTGGCCAGGAACAGGGAACTGTGGCAGGGACCCTGCCTTAGCCCTGCTGTGCGCCACTGCCACTCCGGAGCCACTCCAGGTAAGCCGAACCCCTACTGCACCCCACACCCCAATCTCCTGATGCACCCCAACCCCCTGTCCTGAGCCCCCTTCTACACTCCACACTCCTCCTGCGCCCCGACCCCCTGCCCTGAGCCCCTTCCTGCACACTGCACCCCCTCCCACACCCCACACTCCCTCCCACACCTCAACCCCCTGCCCCAGCCCAACATTCATGGCCCTGCATGCAATTTCCCCACCCAGATGTGGCCCTCAGGCCAAAAAGTTTGCCCACTCATGGTCTAGAAGATACACACAATAAACAAACAGGCATGCACGCAAGCTCTGAAGTGCGTGTGCATCTGAACATACTGATGAATCTCATGCCCACCACGTACACAGTTCAAGCTGTTAGCAGATAACGGTTTAAAGATCTGACACACACTAAAATGGGAAGAAAATGAAAATCTATATCAGAATACATTTCAGAACACAAGGAAGTATTCGAAAGGTTTTAAAAAACAGGAGAAAAGGATGAAGTTGAGTGTACAGTATGCGCTGCAAATGGTGTGGCCCAATTATTAAATGTAAATATTTATAGGTTATTAGTTCTAAGTCTACAACAGTAAACTGTTTATTCAAATGCAAAGTTTTATTTGGGGATTAGAGAGCTATTGTTTTCTTAAACTCAGAGGTGGCATTGTGTTTTGAGTTCTGTTTTAGTTCTGCAGCAAACCACATTGATGAATGGAATTCAAAACATGAATCTACTGGATACTTTTCCCCCTGTCTTTCCATACACCAAAATAAACCCAAATATTTACCCAGAAAAAAATTAATATTTTTGCACTGATTTTCACCTGTTTTTGTTCTTGTGATAACAAACACTGATAAATGCCCAGGAAAAATTAAATAACATAAAAACTGAAATTGAAGGGCCCTAAGATTATGGTGTGCACAGAAAGAGAGTGATGAAAGACGAAGGTAAATCCTTATCACTTTAGTCTTAAACTGCATTTGGAACCAAGGAAGGAGTAGGTTACATTGAGCGTGACTTGAAAGTTAACGTTATGGTCTTGGCATAAGAGAGATGGAAGGTAGCATTCGTGGCCCATGGGGAGCTAATGTAGGAAAGCAAGATACAATTTCACATTCATTTACTGCTTTTCATGTGAGGATCTCAAAGCACTTCACAAAGGTTCATGTAACTATTGTTATGCCCATTTTACAGCTAGGAAAACAGACTCCAAAGGGGGAAGTTCCCAGGGTCACACAGCAGGTCAGAGCCAGGAACAGACCTTAGGAGGCCGGCCTCACCATTTTGGGTTCCAAGCACTAAGGGCAAATTCAGGCCTGGTGTAAGCAGGAGAAACTCAATGGTGGAGCTGCAGCTACTCACAGCAGCTCTGAATTGGGGACCTCACTGTTGAAAAGCCCCAGTGAGGAGTGTGTGTGGAGACAACAAGGTACTCTCCCAAGGGATCCCATGAGACGCCCAGCACCTCAAGTTCATGGCTAATCTAGTCTGCAAAGGAATAAGCCTGCCAGCAAAGAGAACGACCTTGCACCAGAGGGGCGAGCCGGACAAGGTCATTAAATCCTCTTTCGCATGGATGAGCAAGCACCAAGGCCAGTGATTAATGGGGCTGCCTTCAGAGCGGGGTAGGGGACAGGACAGGAGAGAGCCAAGGACCTGGGGAAGGAAGGACTGAGCCAACAAACTAAGGAGGGGGAAGGAGCTGAAGAGAAACAAAGGAGATGAACCTGTGGGAGCTGCCCGGCTCCGCCTAGGGAGGTGCTAGCTATTGTCATTCCCTGCTAATTGTGGGGAATTGTCCGCAACTCAGCTGGCAGCTGGCCAGATTGATTAGTCACATAAAACCCAAACACAGGGTAGGACTCCAGGGGCTGGATTAATCTCCATCCTAACCCTCCCTGACCGCCTTACTCCAGCCAGGGATACCACCCTGTTATTCCTCTCTAAGCACCATTTACCGCTCTGATGGAAGGTCCCATCCTGCCAGCCCTGAAGTCCGAGGTCTGTACAGCCCAGGCAGCGCCAATGCCAGCTCCTCTTATGTTACCTTCACCCCTGATCTGGATCATGGTGGCCAGGGTGCAGAGCCTGGGGAGTTTGCTATTTGGAAGGCCCTGGTTGGAAATCAAGGGGAAAAGCTGTTCCTGAAACTCTACGGAATTGTTATTTGTGTTTCAGTAGCACTTAGAGGACCCAATCAAGTTCAAGCCCCATTGTGCTAAACACTGTAAAGAAACATAGTAAGGCACAGACCCTGTGCAAAGCTTATAGACAAGACAGACAAAACGTGTGAAAAAGGAAGCATTATCACCATTTTACAGATAGGAAAACAGAAGCACAGAGGATGGCCCTGATCCTCTAGGCCAGTGAGACTCAAGACCTCGGTGGTTCAGGAGCCAAATTAGTGATCAACATTACCCAAAAGAGCCACAGTCGTGTGAATTCATGGTTTCATTTACTAGCTATACACATGCATATATATTAGTCTCACAGCAAAATGACTGATCAAGTATTCTACAATTGGTTAATAACCTAGTAAAAGCATCCTGTTTAGTTAATAATTAAAATCACATGTTTTAATATCACATGCTGCAGAGATCCACAGGAGCCACATTAAAGAGCCACTTGCAGCTCCCGAGCCTCAGTCTGAGTATCTCTGCTCTAGGTATTTAGGTGCCCTTAACATTTTCAAAACTGCTGCTCAGCTATCGCCTAACCCCGTAGGTGCCCAAATCCCCTAAACCCCTGCTGGACAGCATTCACAAAGCCCTGACGCTGCCCTGCAGCAAACCAGCCATTTGGACCCCTGGAAGTCCTGAAGCAGGATTCTCAAACCAGGCATGTATCAGAGGGGTAGCCGTGTTAGTCAAACATGGCAACTTCAAACCAGGCAAGGGAATTCCTATCTTGCTGGGGAGCCTGATCCTCTAGGTGTGCACTGAACACACCTACGACGTGCTACCTGTCAGACCCCACAGTGGAAGGACTGGATGCAGGCCACTGGTAGGACAGCACATGCAAAAGAGAGTTGGTGGCAGAGGAAAAGAAGGACAAATAGGAGAGGTACTGAGTGTGAGCCGAGTGGAAGGAGGCACCAATCTCTGGCCCAACAGCTCAGGACACCAAGTTAGCCATTTAGGCTCCCAAATCCCGCACCTCTCCCCAGCATTTCACTTCTGGCTACCATAGGCAGCTCCTCACTCAGCTTGTGGGCTTCTGAGGATCCCTTGCTTAGGTGCCTAATTCTGCCCTAGGGCTGCCACCGCCAAGATACAAAAAAAACCCTCCAAAAACCCCAAAAAGCAGCCACTGGCCACCCTACCACCACCAAAAAAGGCCCTAGTGCCGCTGGTGAGCTTGGGGTCCATCCTGCTTCCCAGAGCCTTCAAGGGAGTCCCCCTACCCTATTCTCCCCATACGTTGTATGGGGAGCTTGGGCACCGAGGGCTGAGACCGCTAGACAGCATGGCACCTAGGGGCCAGGCTAGGTGTTGCAATGCTGAGCAGAAAATCTGGGCCAAAGTGGTTTGCCCAAGGCCACGGCAGTCAGTGGCAGAGCCAGGAATAGAGTCCAGATCTCCTCAATCCCAGCCCAGGGAAAGGCTTCTGTCCTCTGAGGCGCATGCACCGGAGACGGAGCTCTGAAGTGCAAAGCTCTCCCTTGCTGGCATTGCAACACCAGCGCCGTCACATAGCGAGGCCAGGCCAGCCAGTCGGGGGTGCCATTTGGTCGACAAAATGCAGAGATTGGTCAGGCAAGTTTGTATCTTTTCCCTCTTTTTTCCCCCGGCGGTAATTGTGGTCTCTCTGGCGGAACCACAGATCTCCCGTCCCTCCTCCAAGTTTGCAGTGAATTCTAGAGCCTGCCACTTGCTGCTCCCTTCCTGGGCTGGGTGCTGGGAACAAGGCAATCAGTCCTTTTTGGTTTTTCCTCCTGTTCATCGGCCAATCTGCTAAGTTAATTATTGACCCAGGCACCCAACAGAGAAACCTGAGCTCCCTGTGCTAATGACCTCGGCGGAGCGGTCTCAGGCCTGGAGAGGCGTGTGGATGAGACTCAGAAAAAGAGCCGTTAACTCATTAAAACCAAGAATTCCAAAAAGCTGCACCGATGGCTGGATTGAAAAGCCCCAGTGCACCCCTTGAGATCTCCGTACAATGCTCGCTCTGCTCTGAAGTTACTTTCCTGACCCTAGGCACAGATGGAGCGCTCAGAATTCCAGGCTCTTCTGAATGGAGTCACAACAGAGGGGTGGGGGGATCTATTTCACATGCCTTCTGTAAGACTGATCCTACCCTGCGGATGATATTTCTGTGCCTTAGAAAGGTGCAGGTTATCCTGGGATGTGGGAGACAGGGTAGGAGAGCATGTTGCAGACACACACATTGGAGTGTGATGTATGTTGGAGTAGCATCTGTATTGTGGAAGGGAGTGTGTTCCACCTGGGGCGGTGGGATAGTGTAGCAAAGGGGCAGGCTGAAATGGCATTGCAGATGGGTACACATTGGTTACAAGACAGATGCCAAAGGGATGTTGCAGAAGGGGATAGAGAACAAGATAAGAACAGCCATGCTGGGTCATACCAGTGGCCCATTTAGCCCAGTATCCTGTTGTCCAACAGCAGCCAATGTCCGGTGCTTCAGAGAGAATGATCAGAACAGACCATCATTGAGGGATCCATTCCCTGTCGTCCACTCCCAGCCTCTGGCAGTCAGAGGCTAAGGACACCCAGAGCATGGGATTGCATCCTTGGTCACCTTGACTAATAGCCACTGATGGACCGATCCTCCATGAACTTAGCTAAATCTTTTTTGAACGCCGTTATCATTCCGGTCTTCACAACATCCCCTGGCAACGAGTTCCACAGGTTGACTGTTTATTGGATAGCTTGTTGGAAATGTCCTGGGAGCACAGAGACGTGTGCATGCTGGAGAGGGGTATACGTCGGGAGTATAGACGGGTCTGCCCAATGCAGAGGGGTGCACATGGAGAACGCGTTAGGATCGTGGGGTGCTGCAGAGGTACATATGTGCAACTCGAGCACAGTTCACTGGAGTTGGGAGCAGAGTGTGCTGGCTTTGAAAGTTACAGTGTGACTCCGGTCTATTAGCCAAGTAAAGGGAGTTAAGATGGCCCCTGACACAAAGCATAAGTTACAGCAGCTTAGATGCCTTCTCTGACTTGGGCCTGAGGAGTGAACTGATGCCGGTGAGACTTCTCACAGCAGCTCCCTTTGTCTGTCCAGCTCTGGACTCTCGCCCAGTGGCATGACTGGCTTGATGCAGCGTGGATCAAGGAATGCCTTACAACCCCCACGTGCTGCAATCTGTGTCATATGGCTCGTAAATTCCTCTGCTCGTTCCCCCGGCAGTGCTGCTGATCAGTCATGACCCTGCAAACCCACCACCTCTGCTCTTCCTCAGCATCAGCCCCGGTCTCCGGGGTTTCTCTCTGCTCAGCACTAGGACAGGAAAGCCAGCCGCAGAGCGTCGGCCTCTGGGAAGGCATCCAAGGAACTGCAGGAGTTGAACGAGCCATCGCATTGACATCTTGGCTTTGTTTTGGAAACGGAAGCGCGGAAGGAAGCCAGCGGTGGAACAGAGACGCAGGGGGGGATGGGACTGGTTTCCACAGTGTAACCATTAGCCAGGAGAGGTGCCCGGCGTCCGCTGGGTGAGGTGGCTGCTTGGGCTAGAGGGAAGGTTGATTAATAACAGATCTGTGGGGGGCTCACAGGGAAAAATAATCGTTTTCCACTGAACTGGAATAGACAGATTAAAGCTGCTTCCTGCTGCTGCACTGAGTGACAGGATGCTAAATCATGGGATAACTATGGGAGCATAGGGCTCTCACCAGCTGGGGAACTCTCCCCTACTTGGCCTATATGCACCACAGAGCCAGAGTCCATTCCAGCTGGGTACAGAAATCCAATTCAGGTTCCCTCCCACCTCAGGGGCCTCTCTCAGGGTCTGTCTGACTGTCACGGCTGCCTTTTAATTCCTTCCAGCCATGGCTCTGCACGGAATCCAGGCCCCGTGCTTTTCAAAGCAACATGCGCCCTTCCAGGGTCATTAGTTGAGCCAGAGAGCTCCTGTTATCTCCAGCTAACTTTCCAAGGTCTCTCTGAATAATCCTTCCTTCAGCTGAAAAACTCCCCTTTCTTTTTTGCCTTTCACTAAAGGCTCTTGAGACGTGTGAAGTTCAGTATGCCCCCGCATTGCTTTGCCTGCTACTGAAATGCAGCTACCTCTGGGGTGGAACTGCTCATCCCCCCCGGTAAAGACGGAAGGTCCTCTGCTCTCTTTTGATGCCATATGTATATACAGTAAGCTCCATATCAGTTCTGTAAGGCAGTAAACGTACATCACTAAGCACACATTATACAGGTTCTACATAGCCACTCAAGTGTTCTGTATGGGTCAAGGCACCAGACCAATTCTGCAATGCTACCAGGCACTATATAGGTTCCGTATGGGAAAAGAATCCAGGCACCATGTAGGTAAATGTCCCATGTAGACCCCACAAGAGTTCTGGTTCCAAATAGGTTTTGTTTGACCAGTTGGGCCTGGTCTGAATAGAGGCACCATAACAAGATTTCAGGTCCCACCTGAAAGCCCTCCAAGCAGCACATGCAGAGGCACCAGCCTGCCCCATTAACAGCCCTGTCCCGTCTCACTTTAGCTTTGTTTCAGTTCTCGCTTCCTGCTGATGTCCCGGCCGAGCCCTACATGGCCCCGGAGAGACAAACCTCCCTGCAGTGGGACACTCACTGGCCTCGCACCCACCTCCTCTTCGGACAGTGACTCCGGCTGCGCCCTGGAAGAGTACCTGGAACGCGCAGCAGACGCTGCCCCAGCAGAGGTAGGCAGGATTCCTTCTTCGGCCCAGCGTAGCTACTGCTTTCCCTCCGACCAGTGTCCTGCGAGATGGTATCAGGGGGCTGAGACTTTCCCCTAGAATCTGAGCATGGGCTACTGCACATGCTGAGCAGGCCACCTTTGCTGCGCCTCCCTCAATGAAGCATGTCCCTTCTCTGTTGCGCGCACCTCCTGTCCCCGCTGGGACGCTGTTGTCACTGTATCTGGGAGCCATCCTGTCACTTACCCCACAATCAGCTCTGCCACTACTGTGCCCCCCCCACTCATCCTACTCCCGTGCAAGCCCTACAGTGGCTCACGCCCAGTGGCAGGCAAGAGGGGAGAGGGCTGTGATTGGTCCCGTTTAAACCTCCCATTGCATCACGGCGTCACTCGATTGGCTTCCCTGGAGTGACCCCACAGATCCCCACAGCGCAGAGGACAGAGCATGGCTAGGGCTATGTTAGTGGGGTGCAGTCTTGCTGGGCTTCTTTAGGGGCTTGTGTCAGTGGGCACCTGCAAATACAAGGTGGGGGATAGTGCTGAGGGGGACTATGCCAACTGCTCTCCGACAGCCCTGCCAAGGCGTTTATTTCAGGCCTGGGTTTCTCCGGCAAGCAGGCTGCTAACATGAAAGAAACAAAACTTCCAGGCACAGCCTGAGACAATCCAACTCCCTTTATCTGGGACCCAGCTCAGGTCCACGGCAGGCCCAGATCTGCATTCTCCTTTCACCTGTGAGAGATTAACCCAGCAATGGAGCTTTAATAGCCTTGTTGCCACTTAAAGCAGGCCAAAGAATGAACCTCAGGTGTGCTTAGGAGCAAGAGTCCCATGCTGCTTTGCAGTTAAACTAATTTTTTTTTTTTTAACTAAGCAATAACGTTAGACCAGTGGCTCTCAACCTTTCCAGACGACTGTACCCTTTTCAGGAGTCTGATTGGTCTTACCTACCCCCAAGTTTCACCTCACTTAAAAACTACTTGCTTACAAAACCAGACAAAGGTGGCTAAACACACTAGTACTGAAAAATTGCTGACAGTCTCATTTTTACCATATACTTATAAATCAATTGGAATGTAAATATTGCACTTACATTTCAGGGCACAGCAGAAAGAGCAGCATAAACAAATCATTGTATGAAATTTTAGTTTGTACTGATTTCGCTGGTGCTTTTTATGTAGCCTGTTGTAAAATGAGGCAACTATCTAGATTAGTTGATGTATCCCCTGGAAGACCTCTGCGTACCCCGGGGTTAAGAACCGTTGCTTTAGAAAACTGCTGCAGCAGATAGTGTAGGAACAGTAACCACAAAATGTGTTCAGACAGTATAACACAACGTTCCTACCGAAAAAGGTGGGGGATAGTGACAAAAAGGAACAAACGAACAATCTCTAATCAGATCTTGTTGAGGCAGCTGGAAAGGACAAGGGGACAAGGAACTTAGAAAATAACCTAAGTAGACATATACACCAAAAGAGGGAAATAGAGAAGGATTGGAATGATAACCAATATGAGGTAAGGGTATAATTAGCCTAAGAAATCATAGGGGAAGTACGAGCATCTGCAGAGTGGACGCAGGTTGACAGCAACCGTCTGCAGCTGTTGGTAACTGTCTGCCTGGCTGGGTTTGTGCTGTCTTTACTAACTGTTAAATCAATGTGTCCACTCGGAGCTGATCTATCCGAGGCTGGTTATTGAGCTAATCCGGACTCGAGAGAGCCCCTCTCACTAAACGGATCATCACCGTTAACATTTGTATCAATTATTGGGGATCGATTGTTGACCAATTATTAATCCTTGATTTGTCAGTATTAACACCCTGGAAATCTTTTCACGTCTCTCCTGTGTGAATTCCCCAGGTATCTTCGTGCTTCGAGGCTCCCTCAGCGGACAGGGTGCCTGCTGCCACCAGGAGCCAGCTCCGCATCAAATCTCTCCTTCAGCAGCTGCCCCCGCAGGACTGCAATGTAAGATGGGCCGTGACTTTCCCATGGGGATTCTTTGTGCTGGCTATGGCTCATGCATCCATCACTCCACAGCATGAGCCAATCTCGTTCTTCCACACCCCATAGGCTTTGCCACCCTCTGCTACTCCGGCCTTAGCTCCCTCTCCCTTATCATCCTATGCACCTCCATCCTGTCCTGGAGCAACCCATTACTTCAGTCCTCCCACTCCAAAGACAACTTTGATGCTTCTCAATCCTGCTTTGCAGCCTCACTGCCCCTCCCCCCAGTATTCCAGTTCTGTGGTCCCCCATATTCCCCAGTATTCCAGTTCTGTGGTCCCCCATATTCTGCTCTGCCAATGCCTCTTATCCCTGGTCTGCTGCTGCCCCTGCTATTCGCAGTCCTGGCTCTCTTGAGCAGAAGCCAGTGATGCCAAATTCTGCATTGGCTCTGCAATGTGGACACGTGCCCATAGCAGCCAAAGCTGTGACCTCTCCAACCAGGGGAGCATGGCATCACCCTGGCCCCCAGCTTCCCAACTGCTGTGCCGCTTGGCTTAGTTCCTCCACTCCTGATTGGCCAGCCAGCCTTTTGGGTTTTTTTAATTTATTATTTTTTGCTCGGCCACATGGGCTCCCGACTCCAACCAAACTCCTGGCACTTGTGCCTACGCTCCGATGCGATGCCCATCGCCACAGCATCCAAGCACTTCTTCCACATGTGAGCACTGGGTTGCAGGGGTGAAACCCCCAATGCTCCTGCTGCTGTGATGCCATCTTCTGGTTCCTTTCCAGGACAGGTACTGCCCTGGCCTTGGGGAGGAGGAGAGGAGACAACTGCAAGCGTTCAGTGCCCGTCGCAGGCAGGAGTCACTGGGGCAGGGATTTGCATGCCTTGTGCCCTCTGCCCACCTTTGTGAAAAGGTAAGACGTTGCCATGCCCATTCCAACCTCCTTTGTTTCCAGGACATGCCAGGCTGTAGCCTGGGGCCCATCAGCACCTGCAGCTATGCCCCTTTCCCCTTTGACTGGCCAGCTCACAGGTCCCGGGACGATTCTCAGGGCTGATGATATCCATTTGCCTTGCAGTGCGGCAGGAGGTTGAACACAGGGGACCTGGGGGTTTTTGCATCCAGGCTGGGGGACCGGTCCTGCTGGCATCCCTCCTGCTTTGTCTGCCACTCCTGCCACCAGCCTCTGGTTGACCTGATCTACTTCCACCAGGATGGGAAGCTCTACTGCGGCCGACACCACGCGGAGTTCTTCCGGCCACGCTGCGCCGCATGCGATCAGGTAGGCACACAAGCAACTGCGCAGGCACCGGGGGCTGCGTGTGACTGTGTCCCACTTTGAAGTCACCGGAACTGCTATGCAACGCTAGGCCTCGGCTCCATTTAGTCCGGTATCCCCGCCATACTGCACCAGCCCATTGGTCCATCTACTCCTGCATCCTGGCTCCAGCCAATGATGCTCAGAGGAAGCTGAAGATGCCCAGTTGTACAATGCTGTCCATGGTGTGTACAGAGGTAGCGGGGGTTCCTTCCTGACCCCTGCAACAACCCACCTATGCCCTGAAGCATGAAGTTTGATCATCCCCATTTTAGCATCAGAAATAAGCTCAAATCCCCCAAAATTTGCAGGAGGAGGGGTTACAACCCAGATCCAAATGCTACCAGCTTCGGGGCTCCATCTCCACCTTTGGTGTCCAGCTGAGGTCTCCCTTGTGCCTTCTCTCGCCAGCTGATCTTCACAGACGAGTGCACAGAGGCCGAGGGCAGGCGCTGGCACACGGAGCACTTCTGCTGCCTGGAGTGCGACCTGCCTCTTGGGGGGCAGAGGTATGTCATGAAGGGCGGCAGACCCTGCTGCTGCAGCTGCTTCGAGAGCCTCTACGCGGAGCTCTGCCAGGCCTGCGGCGAACTCATCGGTAGGTAGCAGGCAAACCATGCACGGCTCTGAGCTCGGTGATCACACCAGGCATCGGGGGG